CAACTTTTCCTTATGTTATAATGGTAGCCACGTTTCTGTTATCGATATGAACGACAAGTATGTTGTACTTTGCTTAATACCATAAGAATGATTCACATCTTGACATCCTGGGCCTGTTTGCCTAGTATGATTTTTTCTACCTATAATGGTTTTCATTAGAGTAAATAAATAACATGGTGGCCATGTGTTTTATTGATAGAAAAAAGTTGTATTATGTCCAGTGGTGTCAGATGAGAAGATTAAAAAAAAAATTCTGGACGACGCCGACAGCCAAGTGATAACAATAGCTCACATGACTCATAGTGTAAAGTGAGCTTAACAGAGATCTATAATGACTCTAGAAATAGTCTGTGAAAGTTTCATTGAAGTCCAATTACTTGGTCAGGAGAAATTGCAGATAATAAATGCCTGGATCCTGTTGCAGATATTGAAAGGTTAATTTAAACAGAAACTAGATATGGACAATGCCCCCCTTTTCTGCTCTGCCATATGCATGAGTATAGTTCCACATATTTTAGATTTGACAAACAGTGATGTTGGCATACAACTTGAAATTGTTACGCTGTCTGAAAGACACAAATGATGCCCCGCTTGACAATAGGAAATTATAAATTTAACACTATGCATGATGATGTAACTGTAGGAGGAGATAGCCGCACAAACCATGATCTCTTTATGCAGCTAGTACCAAAACAATGACTAAGTCCAACTACCTGTCATTTTCAGAATATTTGAAAAAAAAATCAAAATCCTGTGGCCATGCACACCTCCATTATGTGTATGAACATCCTACAAAATATTAAAGCTGTACCTTCTAAAACTGTAGGAGGAGATTGCCGGACAAACCATGATCTCTTTATGCAGCTAGTACCAAAAAATGACTAAGTCCAACTACCTGTCATTCAGAATATTTAAAAAAAAATCAATATCCTGTTGCCATGCACACCTTCATTATGTGTATGAACATCCTACAAAATATTAAAGTTGTACCTCCAAAACTGTAGGAGGAGATAGCCGGACAAACAATGTATCCGAATCCGGACGAACAGACGGACAGACGGACAGACGGGTGTAAATTAATATGGCCCCCGACATTTTGTCGAAGGGGGCATAAAAAATCATGGAATGAAATAATTTAACAGGAATGGATGTGTACTAATTGATACTTTTGTCTGGGAAAACATGATTTATCTATAAGTTGTAATGGGCTTCACGCAAATCTATAGAGTCGTCAAGCCATTTCCAACAGATTTTTACCATTCTTTCTTATGTTGTGATGTCATTGGTTAGTGTTGATTGAAACTTTAGTCTGGGCGAACACGGTTAATTTATTAATTGTAATTGGCCATGAACAAGCATTTAGAAACTGCAAGTACTCCTATAGCGGTGTTTTGTGTCTTATTTTTTTTAATGTTAGTTGCTTTTTTGTTCTCCGTACCGACGCGTACCAGTTACAACTGATTTTTAAAAAGTTGTTATAATGGTGTCCTGTTACACCACTGTCCCTGGTAAGAGGATGTTTGAGCTCTCACAAGCACGTTTTACCACGCCACATTCTTTTGGTTCCTGTCCCATGTCAGCAGCCTGTATTTCAGTGGTTGTTGTTGCTTCATGTTTGTCATAATTGATTTTATAAATCAAATCGTTATAAATCAGGCCATTAGTTTTTTCGTATGCAATTTTCACATTATTCTTGAAGGGACATTTTATAGCTGACTATACGGTTTAAGTGTTTTCTCCTTGCTGAAAGTCCGAAAGGTGACCATTTATTGCTAATATTCTTATATAGATTTAGCCCTTGTCATAAATGCTTCTATCTGTCATATTTGTTTTTCGTTTATTGTTTTGCCCTGAATCAGGTGTTTTCTGGTTTGAATTGTTTCAAACTTTGTCTGTTATTACTGTTGAATGCCATATGGTGACCTAATAGTTGCTATATACTGTTGAATGCCATATGGTGACCTAATAGTTGCTATATACTGTTGAATGCCATATGGTGACCTAATAGTTGCTAACATCCACATCATTTGTTGGATGGTTGTCGCATTGCTTGTCATACCACATATCCTTATCGTTACTGAGGTAAAGTGTTCAACATGAAAACAATCTTACCACTGGAGTGTGCAATTGATTACGGGATATCTCAGATATATAAGAGACAGACATATACTTTTCATACTGAATTTACATTTATAGTAGTATTTGTCTGGTAAAATTACTGAGGACGGAACCTCAACCTGAAAACATAACCTGATCATGCTGATCCCTCTAGAATAAAATCAAGGCCACGGTCGTTTAATTTTTTTTGAAGAACATATCATTATATTCCTCCAAACCAAATCGTTGACATGTACTAGGTACTGAGAAACAGACCTAATTATGAACATTACCTATACCTTATGTTATAAGTACTGAGAAACAGAGTTCATTCTTAAAATTAACATTACCACATTGATCAATAAAACGTGAAATGGAGAATACTCGTTTAAAACAACCGTTTTTAACTTAAAACCAAGGTTTCAACTCCCTAAGGCAAAGTTTACCTTAGATGGGTTTGGCTTTTATTTCATGTCCTATTTGTTTCGGTTCTTATACATTTTTGGCTTTCAAATATTCGGCTTTGAGCATTCCTGATAAAGGTATATCCAGAAAAGCGCTTTGGACGGATGCAACTTATAAAGTGTTGTTTTCATTTATTATTGGAAATACTGGGGCACTTTCTCATATACTATTATGTACATGTAATTGAGATACACTGTTGCTGTTAATAGTAATAACAAAATATATAGCAGGCAGCATAAGTATATATTCTGAAATGGCTTAATCAGAAAACTTAATATCAGGAATTCAAGATACAATCGTCATAAAAAAACGAATTATCAATGCCTCAATTCGAACAGACTGGAACAGAATAAGGAATAGAATCAAAAAATGCAAATCGGCATTAAATACCCTGCTTCATTTATAAGGGATTACAAAAAAAAACGTGATAGCAACGAAATGTCACCATCAGTACAAAAACAAAGGAAAACATTGTAATCCTTTTCATGGTGAGTTAAAGATAAAAGGACTTATGTGCACTATACAGCCAGATTATCAGGTTAAACAAATACTTAAACAATGAATCAGAAATTAACACATAAATCATTGTGCACCATGTTGTACTGATTGAACAAAGGAAAATAATTATGAATGACTTGAGATATGGAAACATGAATCACTATACACCTTAGCCTAATGAAAAGGGTAAACATAAACATTATTATATTGTAATGGATCCAACAAAATAAAAAAATGACGGTAAACTTATGAAAAAAAAAATAGTTATTGATAATCTAACTAAATAATTACCCTCTAGTCTTTTTTGTTTTTCTTCAACTGAAAAATAAACATCTGTTATATTTACAATAAAATTGTTGAACACAAAACATTGATAACGTTATCAATTTTTCTATAAAGAAGTTTTCCTTCTCTGAAAAGAAACATACCAGTATCACCTATGTACTATGATGTTAACATTTCAAACTTAATGATTTGCTATTCAAAGGGTTATGTCAAGTACAAAAAAATCACTGATTGAGCATGTCCACTGTATATTAGTAATATGATGGTAACATACAGAATAATAGTTTGTTCTTTGTACTTGGCAAAAGATATAACATTGAAAGAGCGCAATTTTTGTATTAGGTAATATGATGTTATCAGTATAAGAGAGGCAAAAGATACCAAAAGGACATTTAAACACAAACTGACAACATCATGACAAAAAACGAAAAAGGACCAAAAGACAAACAGCAGTATACAAAACACCTTAGTTGCTCCACAAGGGTATGCGGATCCTGCTTCACGTGTGGTCACATTCGATGTAAAGATGGTGGGATTGTGTGTAGGACAACTGGTACATATCAGTCGTCATTTGTGAAACAGATATTCCATAAAGGTCAACTATCTCGTGATGGCGTCCGTAAAATGTTCGAAGGGATGATCTCCACTTCACCTATTGGAACTCTTGTTTTAATAGCTTCCTTATGAGCAGCAACCCTTTATCAAGGAAATTATGATAGAAAATTCAAGATTGTTTTCCAATACTCTTAAGACTGTTGCTCATATTTATGAAAAATCAAATTTACCCAAAAGTATGTGAAAATTGGTATTAATTTATAACATGTTTATGAAGTCACCATGACATCACAGGTGACCAAACTATAATATACAATTCTTTTATCAAAAATATTAAATAATTTTAAAATAAGAAGAATTTTACATTTTTGAAATTCAAAAAGCAGCAAAACAGTATCACTAACTTATTACCAGATCGTGAGGGTAAAAACAAGTTTGTTGTCTTTCATCAATATACAAATAATATGTAATTAACTAACAAATATTTATACGTTTTTGATAATAACTATTGCCAAGAGAAAGCTGAGATCAATCATTTAGTTCTCGTTTTTTGACAATAAAAACTTGCCAATCGTCCTCCATGTTTAATAATGTAAGATTGTAAGTCCGATATACAAAAAACAGTAAAATCCTGTTGGAAAATTGTGAAATTATTTTAAATCAAGGAATATAAGCCCTTCAATCAAAGCCCTAATTCCATTTCCGATTCTTGCTATACTTTTTGTCATTTATGAATTTATCAGCACTTATATTCTGAATTGAAGTTTTGGATTTTCAAATATTTTGGCCTCGAGCCTCACTGAAGAGAAATTAATTGTCGAAATACACATCTGGTACAGTAAAATTGGTACTGTTATTGTTATTACTACCACTGGGTTCATACCTTTGCTTGTGGACTGTTAGTCCCCGAGGGTATCACCAGCCCAGTAGCCAGTACTTTGGAAAATACTAATATTGTCTTATTGAAATTTGCTGTTACAAAATTATTTTAAATTTAAATTACCTGATGAGACATCAGTATCATGCTGTTTCTTCTTCATATTGTCAATGTCTTTTACACATGTTGCCATCTGTGTATCATGTTTTGCCATCTGTTCACCTCACTTCTTCATCTGTTCATCATGGTTTGCCAACTGACCATCATGTTTTGCCAACAGTTCACCTTGATTTACCATCTGTTTATCTTGTTTTGTCATCTGTTCATCATGTTTTGCCAACTGTTCATCATGTATTGCCATCTTTTCTCCTTGTTTTGCCAACTGTCCATTATGTTTTGCCATATATTGTCCTTGTGCCAACTGTCCTTCAAGTTTTGCCAACTGTTCACCATGTATTGTCATCTGTTCATCATGTTTTGCCAAATGTCCATCATGTTTTGCCATCTGTTTACCTTGTATTGCCATCTGTTCATCAAATTCCTTAGACTTTTTATCATGTTTGCAATCTAGTCCAACTAAATGCTGTGTCAATTCATCAACTTTGTTCTGTCTGTCCAATGCTTTTGCTTGTACCCCTTTCATTAGATGGCCCATCTTCTCTATTTCTTTCAAACATGCTTCAATCTCCTCTTGACATTTGTCTATAGTTCCTTTGTGATCAGAAAGTTCAGAAGCAAGTTTCTGTGCCTCACCTTCTCCTTGCTGTAGAGAATCATTAAGTCGCTGAATTTTATTTTCATGTTCTTCTTTAATGGTCTTTTGATTATCAATGTCCATCTGAAGATTATCTATCTTTTCTGTATGTTCTGCAACATTATTCACACAAATTCTTAACTTGTTTAACATCTGTATTAGTGATTGGTCTAAAACAATATGTTGTGCAGACTGAGCTTCCTTCAGCAGTGTTTTTCCTCCAAGACGTTCAATAGCCTGTATAAAATGATAAAAATGTTTTTTGCGTCTATACAGTATATGTACAATATGTCAAGCTCTAAATTGTCCTTAGTCTATAAAAATTGTGAATAATTCTAACTGAAACAATCAAAGATCTGCCAATCAAACCCAATCCTTACAAGAACAAACTACAATAAGATATGACATATGACAGATACTGACTTGAAATAAGCACATAAAAATGTGTTTTTTATTTATCTTTTTAATCTATATCAGTAGATGAACAAAATGTACATAAAAGAATATACAATAAAAGACAAATATTGGAAAAGCATTTTTCTCCAAATAATTAATATGTTACAAAAAACCTTTTTTGACTCTGTTTTGTCAACAGTTTTAGGACCAGAACTTACAAAGTTTTCTCCTTTTTACTTCTTCTGTCAACAGACGCGATAGAAACTGACTCTAAAGGGCTAAATAAACCATAATCTACTCTGACATATAACATTTCGTCAGCCATTTTGAAAAAGTAACACAACTAAAATCATTAAGAAATGCAATAAGTTTGACCATCCAAACATCTTTGTCATTCTTAAAATTGTCTGAAGGATAGAAACCAGTTGCGAAAGTGAGCATTCAAATAGTAAACTCGTATTCCTGAAAATGTTTTACGTGCAACTATAGATGAGAAATCATTTAACAGATTAGCACTGATGCACATGCATTACAATTTACACTTTTGCTCGCAGACATCTAAGCAAATGATGATGGATGCCTGTTTAATGTCTGTTGTATATTCAGGATGAGACCATGGAAATGATTATGAGTGAATACCCGACTTTGTACCAGACCCTCGTCCTGAAAATGCATGAAATATTTGCCACTGGACTTTATATTGAAAACATCTTTCAAACAATTTTTCCAGGTCATGAACAAAGTTACGTTTAGTCAGACTTTAAACGTGCTATTTCACATTGAAACAGTCTACAGAAAGACATGTCACCCTACCTGGATTCATTATTCTGGCTCCACGTCAACCACTCTTTGCCGTTGCTACTAATTGCAGTGTATTTAAAGAAGAAGCAGCAAACACGAATTATTAAGTCTCTGGTTCGACCCGTCAGGGTTCGAATCCACGATCTCCCGCTATCAAGGTGAGCATGCTTCCACAAAACCAACGAGGCAGTCAAAAGACAATGAAATTAGAATCAATTTTGTAAACCATGTTACCATAAATTTGCTTCGTTACTACGTATACCTTAGTACTTGACAACCTTCTTTGATCTCCAAGATAGAACTACCAATCTCTAGTTAAAATGTTGTTATACACAATTTTCATAGGAAAAGTATATATTATTTGTTACAATGGTGTAATAAACACGAAGTCAGTGTCAGAAAAAAAATGCTAACTTCATACCTTGATATTATTGTGATAATGATCTGTATACTTACACCTTCAAGATCTCCCCAGTACTGATTGAAATCTGCTGGAGACAATTTCCCAACCTCGCTATGTGCTAGCTTGTTTCGGTACCATTTAACTCTGGCGAGGTCTGCTCCTGTACTGGTATCACCTGGGTGTGGTAAGTTATCAAATCCTGTTATAGGGGCACACTCACATGGTGTCATGTTACGTAAAAGGCAAACTATCAGTGTTGTATCAAAGTGTTCTGATCTGACAGTACTTCCTGTAACAGAGTAACAGATATTATATAAATGAATCATAATTATAAAAAAACATAATCATGGTTTAATTGCTATACACAATATTCTCATGTTCTTTTGTTGTAAACAAACTGAAGACGCACATCAGGTCTTTGATTATTCTACAGAAATTTCAGAAAAGGACTACAGGTGCCTATTATATCATCCTGAAACTTGATACATGTACTTAATCTAATAAAATGCTTCGCCGAGCGCAGCCTGATACGACCGCAGAGGTCGAACCCTGAACAGTTGGGGCAAGTTTGGACACAATATTCAAGCTTGATACTGTCTGAATTTGGATTGTGATCAAGTTTTTTTACATAATATAGGTTTCTGACACAAAATAAATGTAGTCAAAGATCTTAAAAATTTGAAATGGGAAATTTAATTTACCTAGTATGGTCTGATATCCAAAATCTAACAACATGGTTAGATTCAGCATATAAAAAAAACACCAAAAATTTTATTTTAGTTAAAATCAGACAAAGTTTAATTTTGTTTTATGTTTTAATCTTTTATGCCTTCCCTTTATGAAATTGGACCCCTCAAACCTTAATATGTACTAATTTGAAACTAGAAAAATGCTTGTTTTATGCCCCTTTTTTGCCCCTAATTCCTGATCGTTTGGGGCAATTAGCCCCAAACTCAATCCCAGCCTTCCCTTTATGTTATGGAACCTTGTGGTACAATTTCAGAGAGATCAATAATATATTTTGAATCTGTTCAATATAAACACTGATTTAATCATAAACAAGTTGATTTTTTGTCAAATGTTTAGCATTGTTCCTATTGAGATTTGCATTTTTTTGTTTTTGTTTAGTTAAAAAATACATTTAAGAAGGCCTTAATTTAATCATTGTCATTTTCCAGTTTTTATTTGTAAAACACCAAAAAAAATAAATTCAATAGGAACAATGTGGAAAATTTTGTCAGAAATCAACTTTTAATGTTTGAATCAGTGTTTACATTGAACAGATTGAAAATATATCATTGATATTGAATAAATACAACATCACATGCAGTTTTGTGAGTTAAAACATGTATTTTCAGCTTTTAGAAGATATTTTTTTTACTCAGGTAACTTAACCAATGAGTGATGGATTTCTCTAAGAAGAAATTCAAAGGTCCCAGTGAATAAACAACAGAGAGACCAATAGCTATTGTATTTATTCAATGGGACAATAGAACTGACAAAAGTTTAAATAGATTGAGCAATAGATGACTCTCTGGAGAAGTTGCATTTGGTTTGCAATTAAAGCATTGGTCAAGTGGTTCTTAAGCTAACACACATAAACAGCTGGAACTGCCTGCCATTTACCCTGTCTGCTGAATAACACCAAGACCAAAACAGGAATTTCCTTGGAAAATCTGATTAAAATAGATAAATGAGTAGAAATTATCATTTAAGACAAACACCAACCATAAGGAGTAAATTAACATTTCAGCTAATGATGACCTCTTGTCTTGCTGTTCACTATTATCTTCAAAGTTTCTATCTATTTATATTCAAGATGATAAGGGCCTTGTAAAGATACCAGTCGATTGTCGAAAACAGTTGTTTGCCCATTAGATGTTGTTTTGGTTAGTTTTGATGTTTGGTTACTGTCTCATTAACATATACCCCACAATTTTTTTTTCAATAAGAGTGATAACTTTGATAAATAAATCATTTTAAAAAAGGTAGAATAATGGTGGACAGATAATATGCAGAAACTTGGAACTTTAAACGGGTGGCACATGTGAAGTAGTATCTGCTTACCCTCCCGGAGCAACTGAGATCACTACTGGTTTTTAGTAGGGTTCGTGTTGCTCAGTCTTTAGTTTTCTGTGTTGTGTTATGTGTACTGTTGTTTGTCTTTTTGTCGTTTTTTTGTTTTTTGCCATATCATTGTCAGTTTGTTTTCAACATATGATTTTGAATATCCCTTTGGTATCTTTCGCCTTTATTTTATACATATAATATGTTAATATGGTGGGGCCTGTGAGATGTGTTTGAAGATAAATTATATATTGGGGATAAAATAAATCAGGCAGGAGGAGTTTTTTTTTGGCTGATTTATTCATTTTCACATGTTGCTAGTCTGGTTTATTTATTTGGTGCGCCCAAGTCCAAAGAAAAATATTTTCACTCTTGTTCACAATTCTTTCCAGCATTTTGTGGGACAAATATACATTTTCAATTTATCCATGTACAAAATGTAGTCACTGATTTTTTTTATTTATATACGTGCAAGGTAAACATGACAGGTGCCACTTGTAGCAGGATCAGTTTACCTTTCCAGAACACCTGAGATACGTCCCATTTTTGGTGAGTTTCTTGTTGCTCAGTCCTAAGTTTTCTATGCTGTACTTTATAGATTTTTGTTTGTATTTTTGTTGTTTTTTTTGCCATGGTTTTGCCACTTATGTTTTTCAACTTGTGAGTTTGAATATCCCTTTAATATCTTCTGTCTCTTTTGTTCATCAAGACTTTTCAAAGTCAGAATATTCATTTCCAAAATTCTACTATGAATTATTTTTTAAGTTACAGTCTAAGCAAAATGATTATTTAGATATACTTGTATGTTGGAGTCCAATAACATGTATGAGAAAAGTCCAAGGACATGTACGAGGAAAGTCCTTAGGTCATGTATGAGGAAAGTCCTAGGTCATGTATGAGGAAAATCCAAGGACATGTAAGAAGAAAGAAAGTCCTAGGTCATGTATGAGGAAAGTCCAAGGAGATGTATGAAGAAGTGAGTGGACTTCCAAGGAAAATATTTCATGGAAGTATGAGGTAGTGTCACAATACTTCACACATTTAATGAATTCCATGTATGTCAAAGTATTTGTGTCACCAACGTACATAGAAATGTGTCCTCAGCAATGCCTGAATACAAAGTGGACAAGGTTTGCCATGGACGTTCATGGAAAAGGTTAAAAAGAATTGTAGAAGGGGAATTGGAAATTCTATTTTCATTTCTCTCATTCACACTGGAAAATATACAATATAAGTTCATGCAACTTACCAGTAATAGGGTATAATGTTTGCAGTTGTAGTTTCGTTATAAACCGAAGTCCTTTCAAGGTTACTGAAGTAGAACTCTTTCCAAGCTCTCCTGCAAGTCCAGATGGTGGATGAACAGAATCAAAATATACCCTGACAGCCTTTGAAGCAACTTTCAAATTAAGGTAGTAAAATTTGAGAAAGTTTGACTCTTCTAATGATAACTGACTCATGTTGATTCCTCTAGAAGTTATAATTTCTTAACAATTGTCTACTTCAATGGCTACAGTACTGCCCTTTAACAGCACTCTAGCCAAACCAATGCCAAGTTTCAAACTACATCCTGTCTATATGAATGTACCTGCAAAATAAAACAAACTAAAGTTATATAATGTGTAAGTTAACTAACATTTTGAGGGCAAATTGGACCCACAAAACAAAAATCCTAGAGTAATTTTGTCAGGGCAGCTTTATAGTACAAGAAATATGAAAAAAAAATGCATGTGTTGTCTTGCTAAACTTACCCATATGTATTAAATTTTACCATAGTATCTTTTCTTTAGTCTGTTTTATCAGCTAGGTGGTACCTATTGCTATACACATTATTTTGAAATTTAAATTATCTGCAAGGATCCTATATATCAAATATCGTTATCCTCTTACTCATACATGTCAATCTCGTAATAAGCGAGTATTTTAATTTACAAAAAAAAAATATTCATTTTTTCAAACAGTCATTAAACCATGTGAAAATGAGGCCAAGGAGAATGGACATATGACAGATACTTAGTAACAACATAAGTCATCGGCATACAAGGTATGAAGCATCAAGGTCTTCTACCTTTTGAAATTAAAAGCTATACGGAAAAATGATGCCATCGTCACCAGATTGTAATCCCTATGTTTCGCTTTCTGCAACATTTGTAATTTTGCAACATTTGTAATTTCTATCACAGGTAATTTACCTAATAAACTATTTTGTCTTGCCTGCAACATTTGTTACAGGCAAGACAAATTAGGGTTATTTGGGAAATTACCGGTGATAAATAACATGCTGATTTGTTTACAATAGAAAACCAAATGATATGGGGTATCCATCCATGACACAAAATCAGTACATGCACAGCAAAAAACACACAAACAGCAAAGGATCCCGGAACAGTGCTTTTATCGCAGTTCTTCATCTCAAAGTCACAGTGAGCTTATTTGTTTGCCTTTGTAATTTTAATGTAAAAAAATTACTGTAATGTCACCTAAAAACATTGGTGGCCTCATTTGAAATTATTTTATTAATTCATAATTGAAACAAGAGCCTTTTAAGTACGGAAGTGCCATGCAAAAATAAAGTTTCAACTTGTGCGCATGAGTTACTAACTGGTGCGTAAGAGTTACACAACTTGTGCGCACAAGTTACTAACTCAAGTGTTCTTATTGACATACGCACATTTTGCTTATAGGTTGCAGCTGTTTCACAAGCCACGCCTCTTTTGGGGAGATATATAATATTCATAGATATTTAATTTTGTTAACGTACTGGTTCCCAAATATGATCTCTATGTTTCATCTCATAGAGAAATAACTTGGGAATGTTACCAGTATAAAAACAGATGGTAGCGACGATAATTGAATTCTGAGGGACACCCAAAGTGGAGGTAGAGATAGTACAGTATTTTAGTGTAAGTTTAAACTCTTAGAAGTTCGGGGCAGATAAATGTTGAAAATATGCCGCACAGCCCTATGTTTTGATCTTTGAATAAAAAAGTAGTGCATATCAACTTTCCGTTCTAGGATATAATTTTTTACGAAACTTCATAGTAAAAGTGGCACAGCTTTAGCCGCAAAGGGAGTTCCTATAGGAAATTGCATTGTCTATATTTACAGAAGTGCAACCTAGAAAGCTTAGACCTTCCTGTTTAGACTAACATTTCATAGGAAATTAATTTTTAGGCAAATTTTAATTCACTGTAACCAAGGATTCAGAGAACAGAAATTGGGAACTGTTAAGTGGTCAGTTACCGAAGTTTCTTTTTAATTTGTAGCTTGTATTTACTATATTAATTTTTTTATAAATACTAATGTAATGAGGTTATTTGTTCACTTAGTTTCAATGCAGTGGATGTGTGTATTAACCAATTGTTATTACACCAGATGAAAAGATTATTAAGATCAAATTAAGTCACTGGTAGCTCGTTCGCACGACTTGTAATTTTATTTTTGCATAGCACTCCAGGGCTTCCGTACTTAAGAGCCTGAATTTCTCGCCTTGAAAAATATATATGCCTATTTGATATTTTTATTTTTGCTTTTAGGGAACACAAATTCAACTTAAAGAGGTGTTAGGGTTTTTAGGAAAAAAGTATTGTGATTCCAATGAGAAGAACAATAAACAATATGTCGCAGCATTGGCCAAAAAAATATAGTATGTTACACAAACTTATGGGAAAAAAATTCTAGTTCAGGTGTATCTTCGTTTAAATCAAATCCAAGAGTTGCTTGAAAAATCTCAAAGCATTTAAAAAAAAATATGCTTTAGACCATATTTACATACCCAACTTGCTTCATTTTGAACTTAAGGTGGTAATGGAGTACAAACAAATAAAGAGCTGCGCCATGAGCGGATGATATGCCCATCGCTTTTTCAACGAATAAAGTTCAACAACTCCTCAATGTCATATCAGAAATTTATAAAAAAAAACTAAAGGGAACTTATCTTAAGAGATATAAACCAATAACCAAAGTTTAATGAAAACTACGCAAAGTTTTTTTTGGTTATTGTCTAAATATGGAAAATACCCCCTTTTTATGAATAAAGTCCCAATACTCAAAAATGAAAAATAAAAACAAAAAAACAAAAAAAAAAGGAAAGGGAACTTATGTCAATATATAAAAACAATTCCTCAAAGTTTCATGAAAATTGCTCAAAGCATTTTTCGAGTTATAGTCCCCCATTTCTTATGAATAAAATCCCACAACTTGGAAACGTAAAATCGAAAGTTTATAAAAATCAAAAGGTAGTTTACCCCAATAGATATGAACAGAAATATGTTCAAAAGTATTATAAACATGAAAGATTACTGAGCTTGTTTTTAAGGTACAATAACATTTGGTGAAAAAAGACCCATTTTGTATGAATTATACAGAGAAAAAGAATCATTAGGTGAATAGAAGGAAAACTAAAGAATAGAATTTTAAAATAAAATATGAGAAGATAGCTCTCATAAATTGCTTTCAGAATGTTAAACGAAAAATTGGGGTCACCCTTCATTTTTTTCTGCTTTAATATAAAATAGAAAAAAATCATGTAGATTCCTTTATAAAATATATTATCTATAAGTTACCTCCCCTTAATATGCAAAATTCAAAAATATTGAAATCAAGCAAAACTATTCTACTTTTGTAAAATTATGAGTAATTCTAACTTAAAATCGTATAAATTTGATCATTAAAATGAAATTCTGATTAGTAAGTTGCATTCTTGTATCGAAATTTGCTGACTCAATTAAAAATCTAGACCTATTTAGTGCTGCTATTTTACAATCCAAGATGGCTGAACATACCACCTTAAGAGTTTTTCTTTGTTTGTTCTTTCAAAGCAACATTCAGAGAATAGAAATATTATACCGCCTAATATCAAGACAAAATAAAATAAATAACACCATGTTAATGGTTTCGAACAAACTGTTTGTTTTTTGTTGTTACTTGCCATTTGAACCATTATTGTCCTTCATCCATATTTAAGGATGCAATCAATCGTTCTTATGTGGACTGGTGATCATTCCAAATTTTTTGAATTTTTTCACTTTCCCAAATTTTGGACGAAATGTCTTCATGAAAAATGAAGCCAATTTAGGTAATACTTATGTTAATACCACTTTAATATTTTCCTGTGTATATGGTTTGTATTATAATGCAAAGATGTCCAATGCATTGAATTTGTTATGTATAGACAACTGGTTTCTCTTTCGTATTTATTTAAATATCAATAATAAGACAAAGAAATAGTATTGATTATAATATAGTCAAGTACCATTTCTTTGTTCTTAACCAAAAACACAAAAATATTAAAATATTTTGTCATTTAAGTGCACCAACTCCTTCAGAATTTTTTACTATGATTGTCAGTTCCTGCCAAAGGTCATGGTTTTATCCGGGCATTCCAGCCTCAACCACCATATAAAAGTGACCGCTACGAGATAGCCAATAATGCTGAAAGTGGCATCAAACAGCAAATCAATCAATCAAATACTTAAAAATTCATCAAATGGTTTTTGTCCTATTGCCTTTTTTTGTAGATCTTTTCATTTCTGTTGATGGAGGCTGCCATGTTGTAAAGCATTAGAATTTTTCGCAAATTTGTTTAAATACAATGTATCTGATTACCAAAGAGTATTACAAAAATTACTGACTTTGTCCTCTTTCACAGGTAACACCTGTCTCATATTAGTTTTTTGAGATAACAGCCAAAAACATACTAAACTGTTGACACAGAGATATGACTTGCCTTTATGTAATTTTTATAGTACAATGCAAATGTTGAAATTAATATTTCAATACTTTAACATGTATAAACTATGCAAAACATTCAACGAATCATGACTGAAGGTGCAGGGCCAAATAATTTCCATGGAAATGAGAAATCCCAATGCTTTATACAACTGCATACCATATACCATTGACTTAGCATAAGTGGTTTCCTTTAAAATGACCTAAATACAAACTTTTTATATATGTTAGTATGCAAAAGTTTCAAAGTTTAATGCACCATGATGAGGGAACCACCATATAATTTCTATGGAAATGAGACTAACAAATGCTAATACAACTGCATACCTAATCAACTAACCATTAGTTGTTCATCTTAAACTGACTTTAACTAAGCTAAAGTTTCAATTAAAGTCAAGAGACCATGACTGAGGGGACAGGGCCAAATGATCTCCATGGAAATGAGATGTGACAATGCTAAAACAACTGCATATCAAATATCCTTTATCTACCCCTTGTGGTTTCCCTTCAACCGATGTAACTACAAACTAATAAGATATTAATGCCGCAGCTAGATACAGCACATCTAAGTTTTGGTTGCTAGACTTTCTCTGGGTGGAAAAAATATTAGAAAAATATGGTCTTTCAAGGACAATTACTCCTTTAAGGTGACATCCAATAATTTTGGTTTAAATACAAAGTAGGTAGATCTCATTCTGAGCATTTTGCCTTGGTCAGATTCTCTATCTATTATTGCTTTCAAGATATGAGACAACTCATGCATATTACATTATGTTCTATGCTTAGACATAGGCAATGTTTGTTGATTGACTCGAATAAAAAAACACAAACTTTACACAAGATAACCCATGGATCAGTCATCCAAAGTGTGGATAAAATTTGTTCAGTTTCAGACTTATGTCAGAGACGAAGATCTTTGAAAAAATGTTTACAACATGGCCTTTTATTCTCCCTCCTTATGGAACTACATGTACATATATATGGTAAATACAAAAACTTTTCACAAACCGCACTCCTAACATTGCCTTGTTGCCCCCCGCCCCCTTTCCTTTTTGAAAAACCCTGGATTCACTGTCAGTGTTGCCTTATTGACTCAATACTTTTATAACTCCTTAATATCTGTTTTCTATAAATATACAGAGCCTGTAAGAATCATAGTACAAAATACTATAAAAATGAACTTGCAGCAAAGATATCAAGAAATATATGACCATAAGATATCATCTCTTGATCAAAATAGTAAACTCCTTTTATTTTAACAAATAAAGACTGAAAATAAACAAGAATTTTATTTGACATTCTCTAATCTTGATACAAGAAATATGCAAATTTAGAATTATTAATCATCCCCTCTCTATTGAGACTGGAAGATATAAAAATATTCCACGCCCTCAAAGACTTTGTAATAAGTGCAAAGTTAGATGCATGATGAATCCCATTTCTTGTTATTATGTAAAATAAATAATGATTTGATACATGTCTTTTTTGACGATTTAAAAACCCAATCTAAAATATAACAGCTAGATATTTTTTAGTTATAATGAGAACTAAAATATTCACTTATTAACCAAACTGTGTGTATATATAAGTTTTTAAGTTTTTAAAACCAGATAAATGAAATAATGATATTGTGAACATGCACCCATCCCTAGATTTTCCTTTGTCTATCAAGGAATTCCATGGAAATATTTGTCCATGGAATTCCATGGAGTATTGGAACCTTTTTTCAATGGACTACCATGGAAAATAAAAAGAGAAATAAACTGTTAACACAGAGATATGTCTCGCCTATTTGTTATTTTGATAATGCAAATGTTGAAATTAAAATTACAATACTTTAACATGTAAGTTATGCAAATATTCAAAGTCAATGAACCATGACTGAATGTACTGGGCTAAACAGTCTCCATGGAAATGAGATGTGCCAATGCTAATACAACTGAAAACCAAATACCATTGACTTTTCATAAGTCGTTCCCTTTAAACAAACCTAAACACAAACATTAACTTGTAAACTATGTAAAAGTTTCATAGTCAATGAACCATAATTAGGGGGTGGGGATATATAATCTACATGGAAATGAAACTTGCAAATGCCAATACATTTGCATACCGAATAACATTGACTCAACATTAGTGGTTCATCTTAAACTGACCTAATCACAAACGAATACATGTAAACTAAGCAAAAGTTTCAAAGTCAATAGACCATGACTGAGAAGTAAGGACCAAATATTCTCCATGGAAATAAGATGTGCTAATGCTTCTACAACTTCTACAATTATCATTGACCTACCACTAACAGTTCCCCTTAAACTAACCTAATCACAAACTAATACATGTAAAATAAGCAAAGTTTCAAAGTCAATAGACCTTGACTGAGGGGGTGGGGCCAAATAATCTCCATGGTAATGAGATGTGCCAATGCTAATACAACTGCATACCAAATATCATTGACCTACCACTAGTGGTTCACCATGAACTAGACCTAATCACAAACTAATACATTGTTGACGCCGCCGCCGACGCCGGAAACAGCATACCTATGTCTCGCTTTTTGACTCCGTCAAGGCGAGACAAAAAAAGAAAAAATAATACTTCCATCTAGAAACATTTTCCATGGAATTCAATGGAAATATTTCTATCATTTTCCTTTTAAAATGTACTGCTCAAATAAACCTATTGGCGAAGGTTATCTGTGTAAACTTATCTGTAATAATGAACATAAAAAAACTAGGTGCAATGCATTGTTTCAGTTTGGTAAGGTCTTTTGAGTCTTACGCTGGTCAGTAAAATCAATAAAACTGACTGCCTTTTACTGAAATATCTAGATTCAACTTCAAACATCATTCTAACCTTAACTTCAGATTAATCTGATTAAATATGATAAATACAATGAACAAACACAAATTTTGGTATATGTTTACAGTGCCTTTTTATAACAGGAAAATTTAGTTCATTAATGTCACTTTTGCCGACATGGCTTCAGTAGATCCATCTCGTTGAACAGCATTTCCCATGTTTGGAGTTTCATTTATTCCTCATGATACCTAAAAAAATATAACTTTATTGTGATAAATAATTAAATATACTCTAAATAATGTCCGTAAAGCAATAATGATTAATAACTTTAGTAGGTGACATATTTATTTGAATCTAATTTTATGGGGAAATCTCAACCAAAAGGAATCAATCTAATCATTAATAGAAATGTTTATTTGGAATTTGTAATGTCTAACAAAATATTCTTTTCCCCCGCCCCCTTCAAAATTCTTGATTCACAACTGGTATTTAACTGTAGAATACATTTGACCTCACTTTAGTGTTATATGTACCTATCCCGAGACACTGGTGCATGAATTTTAGAGGTTGTTCTGGCCTTTGTCTTTAATATTTGTTTTTCATTGTATGTAAACATCATGGGTCTTGTCTATTTTTTAAATCTAAGTTTTGATCTGTAGCTGTGTTTATGAAGATACACTTTTTTGTCTTTTGTGGACAGATGTCTCATAGGCAGTCATACCACATATCTTTAATGTTTTAAACAAATTACTTCATTAGTAGATTATTAGTTTATATATAAAACATTATAAAAACAGTTTGTCTTGGAAAGATAAACACTATGTCTCTTGTCTTACACAATCATCATATCTATATGCATAAATCTATCATCTAGGTCTTTTCTTGACTCTTATTATCATTATGTTGAACTAAAGGAGCATGCACACATTCAAAATGGAGGAATCTAATTCATTGTACTTACCAAAAGATATGATCCAAAATACACATAAACATCAATGCTCCTAAATCCACAAGTCATGTCATCAGAAGAATACATCTGCGTGTTCATTGCAAGTTCAAATTTTAAATGTGTTGGGGTTGTTTAAGGACCGAGTTGTCTGATTTCTTTAAAATGTGCCCCGAATGAATACTGTTAATTACCTATATCTTGAATATTTGGTATATATCATAATAAAAATTATCCATTTATTGTTTATTTATCATCTTTATGTTTTAAGTTATAGTAATCGCAGAAAAATGTATAAAGCCATGTGCTCCCCTTCAATTGGCCTCATATTACTTCCTGTCCACTACACAGAGATTAAAGGAAAACAGATGGGTCATTACATTTCTTTCACTGGCTCACATGTCTAATTGATGATAAAAAAATAATGCATGGAAATAATTTGTGTGTACATTAAGATACTTGAAATTTTATAAATTTAACCTGTAACAGATGAGGCTGTATTATACAAAATTCTAATTCTGGTATCTATGACGAGTGTATTCATTTGATCAAAACTAAAAACTAATAACGTTGTTTTAATTGCTGTAAGTGAAAATAACTCACTGAGGCAAATACTATTTTGGATAATGTAGTGGTCAACCAGACAGACAGTTATAGGACAAAAAATATTTAAAGAATAATTTAAAAAAATGAAAGAATAACTATGTAATACTGAATATTCATTACAGAAATGAACAATATACAGAAAGAAATCCTTTAGAATTTAAAAGTAAAATCATTTCAGGAGAATATTACAGAATAAGTGATAAGAGGGTCTGGATGGTGGTTCCTTCATTCCTTCATTCCTGCATGTATTCTTTAATTTTTTTAGGCCATTTTTCTCTATTCTTTATACTTTTTGCCAATTATTCTCTATTCTTTAAATTTTGGCACCTCATTATTCTCTATTCTTTATTTTTTTTGCCCATTTTTCTCTATTCTTTATATTTTTTGCCCATTATTCTCTATTCTTTAAACCCCCATCCACACCCTCAGGCAAGATAATGTAAAATGCCCAAAAAATTTAAGGAATGCAAAAATTATAAAATTAAAGAACCACCTTCCAGACCCTCTACTATTACCCATATCAATTTTAATTTTAATTAAATCTCCAGCCACTCATTTCTTTATTCATGGTCGCTTTGTGCAGCAACCAAACATAAAAAAATGAGTGAGTTGAAATATTAAATTTTAAATAAATTGTATGTGATATAGACAAGTACACAGAGCACATTCATATTTCTTAACAATAATAATAGTGGGATATATTCATACTTCTTACTGAAACATTAACCAATATATATATATTGTTTATTGCTATGTTTTTCATAAAACTTCTTTTGGTTTCTTCTGTGTATAATATATCAAATCATGTATCATGAGGATAGTAAAGGGGGTACCTTCATGACGAATAACGGTAAAAATTCTTGCCAAATGACGTTAACGGTAATTTTTGGTGCATGACGATAAAATGCACACTTTCTTTTAGACGATAAAATCGTCGACTGATTTTGACGCATCACGTTAAATTTTTTCCTAAAATGACGCTAACGATAATTATTGGAGACCTCTGACGAATCACGATAAGGATATTTTGACGAATCACGGTAAAATTTTCACCAATTTGACGCTAACGGTAGCCGAAAATGACCGTTTGACGCCTGACGGTAAAGGGCATTACTACCCTCTATCATGTGTATTGTGTACTATTTTTGGTAATTCCGGTTATCTATCTATATATTTATGCAATTGCTCAATTGAAACACGAATTACCTTTGAAACTGATGAATGAAATACTTCTTTTCTTTTCGTTTTCCGCCTTCTTTTACTATTACATGTATCAGTTCCTGTTGATCAACGGAGTCATGACGACAATCTAAAATGGAAATTCCTACTTTCTTTTTCACATCTGATCTGTTTTGTTCATGTATAAACCTCCGTATTCATCGTCGCACTCTTCGCTCCATACAGATACAGACACAGATTTATAATTATTATTTTTTTAATTGTTTTATTTTTCAAAATGGGACATTCGAAATTTCTCAATACACAGATACAGTATAAGACACAGTGCTGATTAATTTTTACTTTTTGTGCAGGGGTTACAACATATATTTTTCTACACTAATCCGATATTTTAAATATTATACTATCTCACCATTTGTCATGTATGTTGTGTGCAAAACAGATACCGAATTTTTTTTTTTATTAACAATTCAAAACCTTTGAACCGGGGGGGGAGGGGGGGGACATATATATTACAATGTAATTATTCATAACGTAATTAACAAACTAAAACAATAAACTAATAAGAAAATAATGGTACATTATAGTAATAATTGTATATTGATTGTATAAAACCTTTTAACTTAATCATATAATAAAACAAAAACAACAATGTCAATATCAATGTACTTTTTTTTATAATGAGGATATCCAAATGTTCTTATTCCTACATTTGTATACTAGTATATAATTACATTACATGTATTTTTCACGAGGATTCGTTAGATTGATTGCATGGCTAACAACAATCGCGCGTCATTCAAAAATTAACCTTCATATCAAAATGAAATGTTACATTCGTGCTTCCATAAAAAATGCACAGGTAAATAAAAGGAAAACTTGATAAAACGTTTTTCACGGTCTTATTAGCATAGAAATGTAATTATAAGAAATGAATGCTTCTTTTTGTAATTTTATTGGGGTGTAAAAGTGTTGATCGTGCACACGTTTTTAGAATGAAGCGCTTCGGCTGTGCAATTGAATATAATTATACGAATACCAATCTTTTATTTTGATAAATTGCATTTTCTGATTTACCTCGCACTATCTTGAAAAAAGTAATTATTTAGAATATCTGTCTCACAGATGTTAATTGATATGTTCGAATTGTCGTAGCTACGATCCCGTCCTGTTTTTCTCGAATGTGACAAACCGAATTAGACTTATCACTGGGTTTGTACATACATGAGAAACACGACGGGTACCAGATGTGGAGCAGGATGTTCTAACCTTCCAGAGCACCTGATGGGGTTGGTATTGCTCAAATTTCGATGTTGTGTTTTGTATACTGTTGTTTGTCCTTTAATCGTTTTTTTGGGGTTATTTTTCCATGGCATGATCGACTAATGAGTTTGAATATCCCTTTGGTATCTTCTGCCTCTCTTCTGTAACAATAGAAGAATTTATCTAAACTATTCGTATGAAACATAGCGGATGGAACCATTGGGTGAGGGTACATTCCCTTTACGTTCGAAAAATAGTGCTTTGTGTACTTTTTTGTCATTTCTCATTGATGGTTCCCCATAAGTTGGGCATGCCCCTCTGTGCCCTTTTGGAATGCCCGAGCAAAAGCCATGGCTCCTCGATGAAAAATTGAAATACGAACTCATATCAAATAACTCGAATACTAATTCGAAGTTAAATTCGAACTAATTCTAAATGAGACATAAATTCAAAGTTGAACTCGAATTGTTACTCGAAAATCAACTCTAACTCGAATTGAATAATTATAGCTCTAATTATGGTTTGAATTGGAACTTTAAATCTAGCTCGAAAAGTAACGACATGACATCGGTTTGAAAATACAACTTTTGATCTTTTCAAAATAGTCACGTGATTTTACCTTAACCAGTAATGTGATAACTACACAAAAGAGTGACAAAACACCATCAAATTAATGGAACGAACACATTATGTAGTGTAAAATTTCAAATTTTGAAACACCATTATATAAATGTTACAGCCATATCAAAAATTGACAAATCATCATTGCGATATATCAAAACCACATCATGTAATAAAACAACCACATAACGTCAACCCACATACATATCAAGTAATGTTCAAACCACATTGCCTAATGACAACAACATTAAATAATGTTGAAATCATATCAAGTTATGACAAAACCATATCAATTCATTACGAAAGCATATCATTTAATATCACAATATCATTGATCAATGACTATACCATATTGAATAATATCAAAACATCAGACAAAATATTGTCAAATAATAATAAAACCACACCAACTTATGTTAGAAAACCACATAAAACAGCTGTGGTGTTCCATAAAAGTAGATTATTCTACTATTGAAAAGGAGTGTTTAGCACTTGTTTGTGGCAAACAAAAATTTCAAAGGTATTTATATGGAAGAGAATTTGTAATTGAGACAGACCATCAGCGACTTACTTATCTTAATAAGAAAGTAGCAAATGATAGGCTTTAGCTCTACAGCCATACAGATTTAGAATTTTAGCCGTTAAAGATAAAGATAAAGTTGGTGCAGATTATCTCAGTAGAATTTAAGATGTCATATAGTGTTTCATTTTAAAAATGAATTGTAAGTGGTGAGGATTGGATGGTTTTAGTTTTATTGTATCGAACAGTCTATATCACAGTACTAGTTTTGAGTTGGTGACAAACCGAGATGTTGTGGGCAGGATATGTCGGGACATATTAAACACATTGAATAGGTATAAGTTATGAGGCGACAAGACCTGATAATGATCCGTATCCATCTTTTAGGTGAGTATACTACGATTTATTAGTATCTTTACTTGGACCCGGTCAAAAGTCGAGTACTGTCCATTAGAATATAGCAAAGTGCTCTCGACCAATCAAAGTGTTAAATTTGGTGTTCCTTAATTGTGAAGAATGAATGTAAACATGTTCTTAGTAAGGGATTATCCTATTGTATAGGCCTATGTACAGCTCAAAACAAAGAATTTATATAAATGAGTCACATCCACCCGGAGTACATTTATCAAATTGACAGGATTATAAATTGAAAGTCGAATTTTGAAAAAAAAAAGTTTGAACTTTACTTGTGCAGTATAATTGGTATCGTTTATGTTATTATGTGAATATTTAGAACATCAAAATTACAGCCAAAAAAAAAAAAGCAATATCAAAGCAATGTGAAAGATCTGAAATTAAATTTAACCTAAATCTTTAGCCTATTCTGTTACCAAAAATCAGATTACTTTATCTGCAGTTAGTAGGAACATTCATTTCCAATATACCGGTACATACATGAAACAAATTACAAATGTAACTTTCGAATTTCTTAAAAAAACATCATCTTTTAATTGTTAAATTTTAGTTATCCCAGATGCTTGTTAAAACCCAACAACAAATTAGCAGTATTTGGCCACAACCTTTAATATTATTTAAATTTATACATATTGTATATAAGTAATCTCAATATAAATGTATGTATGTGCAACAGATCGCTTGCAATTTAACTGTCACTGGTATATCTGAAAATATGAGGTTACCGGTGTATCGTCGATTATGGCAACCGTACTATCAAATATATGGGTCATTTAAAAAAAATGTCGAATTTTCAGTACACCTATATATGCTAAAATTTTTATTTCTGAAGGAAAATGCAGTTGTACGTGTTTAAACGAAAGTTTGTACAATTCATGAGTCAGAACATAAATAATCAACAAGATTTAGATCTATTTTGATACGATTAAAATATATTTAAGGCCGATTTTTGCGTAATTTATATGCGTACAGTGTCATGATAACACATTTCAAATGATTTTTATTCCTATTTTCTGATTGCCTTGATATCTGTAAAAGGGACTTTTTAAGAATGTTAATAATTTATCTAACGAAAAATCGCAGCTTCTTTATTATTCTATGTAACATTTTTTATACAAACTAAATTCAATTAGCGTACATGAAGTTCGTGTCCATCCTGTTACCGCTACTTAAATCAACCATTAAATTGTTCTCCCTTCGAATATTGAACTAGTGAGTGTTGATTTCAAAAGCGCAAAGCAACCTCAAAAGTTAACACAGCACGCTTCTTGCATAACAGTGAGGAGAAACGAAATTTCAAGACATTAAGTGAAAAAAATTAGTGGGTACCTTTTTGTCATGTCTATGCTGTTACCAACATATTTATTAATTACACCAATATTATACTTGTAAAAAGTGGAATAACTTGTTGGAAACCAAAATCACAACAGAAAAACATTATCACTTCATCAAAGGGAGTAGTTATTTCACAACAACATTCATAAATGAAGAAATTTGTCTATCCTGTTATGTCTATCCTGTTACTATGATTGCTATGGTAACAGTAACAGGATAGACAATATGTGACAGAAACGTCTTTAAAAAGTTTATAATTACATATAGTTGTATTCAAATTGAAATGTTTCGTAATTTGAACTCATCCAAAGGTTATAACGTCCCAAATTACCATTTGCAGATGCAATACTGCTATCGGTAACAGGATAGACAAAAAGGGTAACAGGATAGAACTTATAATATGGTGATATATCATTAACGTACGTTCCCGTTACCAATAAAATAAAGACAAAAGTAAACCAACATGCGAGAAAATTACTTGATGTTGGGTTTATAAGAAAGAAAAAAAAAATGCTGAACATCATGAATTGTTATCTCAGACTTGCATTACTGGTGGTTATTTTTATAACCTTTGAAAAATAATTTTTAGAGGCATTTTTCAGTACAACATGGAAAATTGACAAATAATTTATCATTTCACAGAATAAAAATAAATAGAATTTTTTACCCTTGAAAACTATCTTATTTGCTAAAAAAAACATCCTTGAAATTTTATCGAAACCTTTTCTAAATAACACAAAATTTCTTTTGAACATGGTAACAGGATTGGCAAAATATTGCTCCATCTATCAAGAAATGTTTCAATATATTTTTGTATGACATTATCAAGATTGCATCTTTTTATATGTTGTTGCATAAGTTCTGTTTGTTTCGATTTGCTTATGACGAGGGTTGTTTGAATTAGTAACTTTTAATCAATTTTGCTATTTCAAAATTCGACATTTTTTGAAAATGACTCATATA